AAGAGGGCCAGGCGTTCCCAGCTGGGCCTGCTGGGAAGGCCCCCACCCCACTGTTCCTTGACTCTCCCCCAAAGTGTCCATTTCAACACATTCATTAAGGGACTTGTATGTTTTCAGACAAATCCCATTCTAATCACTGCCACATACTGAGAAACCACAAGCGGCCGCTCCCCGGGCCAGAGGGGCCCCCATAGGAATGTTCAAGGCTTCCTCTCCTTGTGTTCCGAAGGCTGGGCCAAGTTTGTAATCCAAGCGCCTGGCCGCCCGGCTCTGGCGGTCCCTGGCCGCCCGCTCTCCCTCTCCCACATTCCAGCCATCTCCATCAGCCTCACTGGCCAAGGTGCCTGGAGGGAGGGCCTGTGGGGCCTCCACAGAGCAGGGCCCAGCTTCGGGGTTCTCCTCACACTCTGGTCCCCTCGGGCTGGTGGTGGGGGGTGTTCTCTGCTGTTGATATAGGAGGGTCTTCCCTGGGGCTGGGGACAGACGAAGGAGAAGACTCCAGCCCACTGGTCTGACCCTGAGCTGGGAGTTACCTTGGGCAGAGGACAGATGCCCCTCCACCCACCCCAGGACAGACAGGCACCCCCAAAGGAAGCCCATGCCCTGTCTGCAGCAACCCTATCCAAGGGATTATGGGCTTGGGAAGCCAGTTTCATTTTTATAGTACACTTTAAATAGATACATTGCTGTTAAATTTTTAAAACACTCATATATGTACCACCTAAAATGATCTTTGTAACCACCAGGCCACCTGTTCCCTCTGCTTGGGCTTCTTCTTCCTGTTTTAGCCACATGGCAAACACCTATATTTTAAAGCCTGACTCAGATGACTTTCTCTGGAAAGGTTGGCTCATTTTCCCAGGTAGAAAGGATGCCTCCCCTTCCCAGCCCCCGCAACAGTGCTCCATGCTCCACTGGAGCGTGTACCTGCTCCAGTCTCTGAGATGGGTGGGTACAGGGAGGGAGGGAGAGTGTGGGGGAGGACAAATGTGGGGGGAGGTTAGGCGGAATGGAAGGACAAAGAAATGGAAGAG